GCCGCCCAGCTCCCTCGCCCCTTGTCGATTCTCTCTCCCCTGCCCCCTAACCAGCCAGGAAGCGCCGACCGGAAGGAAACTTCAAAAAGATGTTTTCTTGGACTCTGACACGGGGTAGGAAATGACTTTCGTACATATTTCTAATGCTGCCTTGGTGGTTTGGAGGGGGCCCGTGCCCATGGATCTGTCCTCTTTCCTTCTGGGGGCTACTCACTACCAACACCCCCAGCCAGCCCGTCTCCTTCCCTTAGAACCGGGGCAGCAGTGCCGTGTAATTGCCATGGCCTTGAGCTCGGGCGTCCTGGTGTGTAGCAGGCGGCAAACACCCAGCAAATGCCTGTTTTGTGCGAAGCCCTGTAGAGGCCGTGGGAGCTACAACATGGCCAAGATGGCCCGTTACAGGGCTCCCTCGAGGACCACCTCTGCTGCCAAAGCCCTTTCTGTGTCTTAGTCCCTCTTCAGAGAGACGGGTCGGGAGGAGGTTCAGGTCAGGCCGTGTGTTCCTGACCATTTTCCTGTCGGGTATCTTTGTGGTGCCTGATTTCTCTTACTCATCCACCTTTTCCTGTTGGTTCACAAAGCATCATGTGTTGCCGTCCGTGGTCCTGGGCTTCACAGCCACTGCGCCCCGGTCTGCCTCCTTGCCTCACCGGAGTAGAAAGTTTAGGGAAGTTGTTGGAAAATGATTTCTAGTTGGAATACCCAGAGTCGTGGAAAGATGGGGCCTAGAGATATACGGAAACCTATTACAAATTTATCTAGTGCTGTCTAGTCTTTCAGGAGAATCTGAGCGAGGACATAGATGGCGGAGTGAGGACTCCTGGCTCCTAGCCCACTGTTCTTTCCACTAAGTCATCTCCAGAAAAAATGCTTCAAAAAGGAAAAGGTCCAGCGATGTTAAGTTATAAGGAGATGAGGAAAATGGAGAGACTGCCACATGACAACAAAAGCAGTATTATTTGGGAAAAATGGAGCCATATAAATCATGAAGAGCGGGAGTACTAAAATAAGGAACTCTGAAGCTTGAAAAAAGTAGTAAAAGGAAAAATGAGAGCAAATAGGTAGTTACCTTGTAATCGCAAGAGATTTATCTTTTTAAAGATCCAGTAAAGGTTAAGATAAGTACATTGGAATTTTTATTACCGTATTTGCCGGCGTATAAGACGACTGGGCGTATAAGACGACCCCCTAACATTTCCACTCAAAATACAGAGTTTGTTATATACTCGCCGTATAAGACTACCCCTTCTTCCGCACACCTTCCACACACCAAATAAAAGGTAAAACAATATCAGATTTGATTTTAACATTTTAATTTATATTCAAATGCTTATGACATGCAGGAAAACTGTCACAAGGCTGTATGTAATCAATCATATACATAAAACAGTGCAAGTTTATTACCGGTAAACATACCGGTAATTCACTAAAGAAAACACACTCTATAGACTGGTACCATAGATGCTTCTCTGGAACACAGGCAAGCAGCCCACAACCTAGAGGGACTGTCAATGATAGAAGTAAGATAACAAATAGAGGGAGAGAGCAAGTGCCGGGCAAGTCCCTAGCAAGTTTGCTGGCGTGACAGTTTCACCTTAAAAGCCTTCAAACTCCTCTTCATCATCTGATATTAAAAGTTCATCAACGACATCTTGGTGCCATGATAGGGATGATAGGGGTTTGACTGGTCGACATTTTCTATGCTGTACTGTACAATGGGGCAGTATTGTGGTTGGCTGTTGGCTGTATACAAAGCCTGATTTGATTGGTCCCTGCTCCCTGTTTAACCGCCCTGGCACTATAGCAGTCTGGTCCACCCTTGCATCAGCATCTCCCTGGGACCTCACTAGTGCGCAAGTGCGAGCTCTTCAACATTCTAACAGGCACCATGATAGCGCAAAATCGTGAATCTTCAATGCATATGTAAAGAAATATACGGTAACCCGAATTTACCACACTCGCAAAATCGCATAACAGCCGAGCATACACCCAGCAGCGCTGCTGATGCCTGAACGGTATGTGGAATGAAGTGGGCGGGCATCGGGAGGCCACTATGGCACGGGGCAAGCACTATGGGCAGTCTATCTGAAGTGTACCTGGCGTATAAGACGACCCCCCACTTGGAGGCATATTTTTCAGGGCCAAAAAATCGCCTTATACGCCGGCAAATACGGTATATTAGATGTTTAAGCAGTGTCCAGAATCTTTTGACATCACATAACTATACTATAGTCCTTACCAGAGTTATTGGGTATCTCTGTTGGAGACAGTATAAAACTGATGTAATTACTAATATGACTCATTATATTCTCATGTTCCCATGGGAAATTAGATTATTGGAATAATATATGCATTTCTGGAATAGAAGGAAGGAAAGACATGGATGAAAGAAGAGAACCTTTTGATATTTTTGCTTGGATCCCCAAATTAGACGTTGTTGGATTGTTCTTGTATATTCATGAAAAGTAGAATTAGAAATACTGTAGTAACGACTTACAATACATAGACATTATTATATACCAGATGCTGTACTAAATGCTTTTTTATGTCCATTATCTCATTTCATTATCTCTTTTTTACAACTGAGGAATCTGACACAAAGAGTTTAAGCTTGCCCAAAGTTGTAAACCTAGTAAGTGGTCAGTGTTCAAACTTAAATCTGGCTGACTCCAAAGCCAATAAGATTTATGCTCAATAGTGTCCTTATAGACAGCTGAACAATATAGGCTTGAACTGTGCAGTTTCATGTATATGGAATTTTTATAAAATGACTGCAGTTCAGTTGACCCTCATAGTTTAAACTCCACATTTGGGAATCCGAGTATGTGAAGGGCTTTTGCAGATTTTGGACAGTGTGGGAGGTCTATGCCCCTAACGCCAGTTGTTCAAGGTCAGCTGTACTGAATTGTGTAGTGATTTAAAATGTGGGCTTTGGATCCAGTCTTTCCTGGGTTCAAACCCTAACTCCTTCATTGACTAGCTTGGATAAAGTACTCATCAGTTCTGTGTCTCTGAAATAGTGACTGTAATAGTACCTCCCTCAGAGGGTTATTAGGGTTGAGTTAATGCATGTAACTTACATGATGTGCTTACAGCTGTGCTGAGACATTGAAAGTTCTCAGGAAATGCTGGCTGTGCATTGTTTTTTAAAATATCATTTAATTTATTTCAAGATACTGTTTTCTTTAGATCCAGATTGTCCATTCTACGGTTGAAGTTTTAAGGCTTTATGATAAATTATTATAGGTATAAAGTAAGCTATCTCTGTTCATACTAAAACAGGTGGAGCCAGTACAAGTTTGGAAAGCACTGAGGTGCAGTGGGAAGATGTGTGACCGGGGCCAGTGGATTTGGTTTCAGTTGTCTCTGTTAGTATATTCCTATTTGTTTCATAAAGAAGGTTGTAAGGATCAGATGAAGTAACAAATGTGAACGAAATTTGAATTGTATGTTATACAGATGTAAAATACTGTTGTTAAAATTATAGAGGTAAGCCCAGCTGGCATGGCTCAGTGGTTGAGCGTTGACCAATGAACCAGGAGGTCACAGTCCAATTCCTGGTCAGGGCACATGCCTGGGTTGCAGGCTAGATCCCCAGTAGGGGGCATGCAGGAGGCAACCGATCTCCTTCCTCACTGAAATCAATAAAAATATATTTTTAAAAAAATTAGAGAGGTAAGTGAAAATTCCCACCCCACTGTAAGCCAGCAGAGACAGATTCTAGGATATAGGCCTGAGAATCTAGAACCACTGGCTTAAACCACTTATATCATATTATTACTTAAATTTACTTATCTTTTCTCCCTGACTGGGTGGCTCAGTTGGTTGGAGCGTCGTCTTATACCCCAAAAAGTTGCAGGTTCAATTACCGGTCAGGGCACAGACCTAGGTTGTGGGTTTGATCCCTGGTTGGGACACATAGGAAGCAACTGATAAATGTTTCTCACATCAATGTTTCTCTCACCTGCCCCCTTCCTCTCCTTCTAAAAATTCAATAGACTTATCCTCAGTGAAGCTTTAAAAAAACTTCCTTGTAATTTTTTTCATATATCCCCACCTAACCAGTGTGTGAACTTAGGACCCACTCTGGAAAGTGTTCCTCAATCCTTTGTGTCCTTCCAAACAGTGCTAGTGCCTTCACACAGTAGATGTTTGGTAAATGTATGATGGCTATATATATATATACTAATTTGCTGATAATCTGAAGTTACCAAACACTTCTTTATAATTTTGAGAGATTAAAAAATAAACCTAGCTGATACAAGTGCTTAGTCATACCAAGAGATTCGTTAGAAAGCTGTGTAGTTTTTATTTTATTTTATTTTATTTTATTTTTACAGAGAGAAAGGGAGAGAGATAGAGAGTTAGAAACATCGATCAGCTGCCTCCTGCACATCCCCCGCCGGAGATGTGCGCGCAACCCAGGTACATGCCCTTTGACCGGAATCGAACCCGGGACCTTTCAGTCCGCAGGCCGACGCTCTATCCACTGAGCCAAACCGGTTTCGGCAGAAAGCTGTGTAGTTTTTAGTTTTAAAACTACAGGTTTGGTTTACAGAAATAACATGTTTGTTATTCATAAATGTTTGGAATTAAGAGTTAATAGTGGTATCATAATTGTTTTGTTACTTCTGCAAGTGGATGTATTCAGAATCCAGTACTTATTCTCTATAAAAATATAAATACTCAGAGATGTAAATAGAGGGTTGTTGGTGTTGGAATTGAGAAGAGGGATGATGTGGTAGCTAGGTATTAATGCAAGAAAAAAAAGAGAAACAAGCAGAGATTTAAAAAATAAGGTTTTCAAATATTTTTACAAGCTTGAAACTAGTTTTAAATATATAAATAGTAATAATAACAGCTAACACTTTTTCAGTGTTTACCATATGCCAGAGACTGCTTTATTTGAAGTCTTTATAATTTTTAAATTAGTTCTCCCAAATAGATACTCTTATTATTTTTAATTTACAGGTAAGAAAAATGAGGCTCAAAGAAGTTAGTCATGTGCCCAGATTCACACAGCTAGAAAGTGGTGGAATTAAGAACCAACCCAGGTGATCTGGTCCCAGAGCGCTTGCTGGTAAATATGGGAGGCAGGGTAGCGTACAGTTAAATATAGCTCCCCTCCTAGTAACGCAAATGGAAAAACATTTATAACATCAGTTGTTTGAGAAGAAAAAGAAACGAGAGAAAGGGGGTAGGAGAAGGGGATTTATCTTCACTCGGGGTTGATTATACAGATGCTTAGGCTCACAGGAGAGGAGGTAAGGAAGGCGTGTGGTAACCTTGACTGGTATTCAAGAAATGCAGTACCATGAGTTCTTTTTCTGCACAGAAAAAAGTCTGCATAGCTGCGATATTCATCTAGAAATATAATTTATCTTTAAAGTATATATTGTATGTAAGTTATTAATATAGGTGAAGTAAATTTACATTTTACTTCTTGAATTAAAATGTTGATTAAATGCTGTCTTTAACAGAAAATATAAAAATATCTCTAGTATTAATAGTTTCAATTATCCACACATATTTTTTTAACATTTCACTGGAATGAGTTATGACAGTAATATTTTTAAGTAAAGCAAATTTTTACTTCCATATAGTAAGAGTTAGAACAAACAGCTGCATTCTGGGTCATAAACTACTACATGGAATCTGAATGTGTACAGTTGCCATCTCCATTAAATTTAATGTTCTAGGCGAGTTATCACAAGAATTCTAAAACTGTTAAAGCTGGTGTTACTCATTGCAAAAGGAAAGTATAAATGAGTAGTTAAGATATAATTTTAAAGATTAGAAGAAAAAATTTCTCTATTGTCAACTTCAAACTTAGAACTTCTAGATAAGTGACATAGAAAAATGATGGGAAGATGTTAAATTACAATTATGCATGACATTGACACAGAAATATATGGCTCAGTGGAACAGAGTTTAAAAACCAGAGTAAGCATATATTATGTGTTAGTATTTGAGAAAATTGACATCTCAACCACTGTGGATAGGGGGAGGAGAATGGACTCTTCAGAATATATTGTTAAAACAGTTAGTTGGTTAACCTTTTAATTTTGTGAGATCTTTACCTCATGCTAAATGCCAAAATAAACTCTATATGGGTTAAAGTTTAAATTCTTAAAAAGTAACTATGAAGTGCATTGACTTAAATTTGATACAACCATATAATGGAATATTATGTGCCATTGAAAATGATGTAAGACTGATTATTGACATACAACCATGTTCATTGTATGCTGAGAATACAAAATAGTATTTATAGCAGAATTTCAAATTGCAAAAATAAAAGAAATATATGTGTTTATTTATATTTAGAAGGTCAGGAAGAGGCGTTAAGATTGATTTTTGTCTTCTCAGTGTTTTCTGCCTGGAACAATGAGCATGTTACCATCCCAGTGCAAGATTATCATTTGTCCTTGTGGTTTAAAATTTGACAGCAGTAAAAAAGCTAAAAAATAGACAGTTTGGTAGGAGAAGAGAAAGAATATGACATTTTCCTGAGGGAAGAATAGAAAGACACAGAAAGTCAGGTGCAAGTGAAAAGTTAGGCAACTGAGGCAAAAAATAATTCAAAGAACTCCAAAAGCAATACAGTGTGTAATTTCATCGAATCAAAATGAGAAAGATAGCTGAAGTCAGGAAAACCATACAATAGTCAGAACATAAAAAATATATTCAAAAGTGGAGGAGGAGCGTGATGAGTCAAATAAATGCCAAGTAATCATACAAGGGAGATTCATATACCCAGGTTCATCTCATGTCTTTATATAGCTTTTTGAGGGCTTTTCCATATATTCTATTTGGGAAAGGATTGTCTAACTTTGTAGTGGTAGATATCCCATTTTTATGCTTAAAACACTGAAGTTTAAAGGACATTTTCTTGGTGACATGGCTAGTTAATAACAAAGCCAAAGCCAGAACCTGCTTTGCTTCAGTCTGCTGGGTGGCCCTGCCATCATATCTTGTCGTCTCACAGACTTTCACAGAGATGTGAGCATGTCATGGGAAACATCCAGTGATTCTGGTCAAGCCTGACACACTTGATGGGAATAAATCACTGCTGTTACCTAAGATCCACCTGGCGTAGGCTTTTTCCCCACCCACTCAAAACTTCTAAGGCTTTCAAGGGTGGAATTTTGGAAGTATGCCGAAAATGAACGGCTTTTTAAATGACCACATTAGAATGAGATAATATTTCACTTATCAGATTAGCAAAAATAAGGAAGACTGAAACATAGCAAGAATTCTGGAGAGTGAATATTTCATGCTACTGGAAGAAGTGTAAATTGGTGTATTTATAAAGGATAAGCTGGTAGTATATATACCCTTTTCCATAGAAGTTTTGTTTCCAGTTTATTCCAAGGATATAATAGGGTAGATGCCCAAAAATATACATGCAAAGGTTTCACCACAGCGCTGTTGATTTTTAAAGTATTTATTTATATCTTTCTATGTTGACTGAATTTTTTTTCTGTTAGCACACATTGCTTTTATAAGCAGTAAAAAAAAAAAAGAAGAAGAAGAAGCTATTTTTATTTATGGAAAAATAAAACCATCTATCACAGGATTCTTGTATCACTACCATAACTCCTCCTTGATAAGAACTTCAGCAATAATGACCCTGGAAACTATTGGTTTTCTCTTTCATCTCTGACAGTAGAAGGATTAAGTCCTACAATCAATAAGGCAAGATGGTTTCGGGGAAGCAGTGGGATTGGTTGGAAAAAATATAGTAATCCAAGGACCTAAGTTTCGAATCTATCTTTGCCTCTTAGCTAGAGTGTGATTTGGGGCAAGTTGCTAAACCTCTCTAAAGCTCCCCCCCCCCCCCCAGCAGTAAAGGGAAGATAATGAAAATATCTCTCCTGGGGTAGTTTTAGTAATAAATACTATTAGGTTTGTAAGAGATCTTTGTAGACTCTGTGGTTCAGGAACAATAACAACAATCAACATTTATTGAGTGCTATATACCAGGCATCATACTGAGCACTTCAAATGTATTAACTCATTTAATTCTTTTTTTTTTTTTTAATGTGCCCGCAACCCAGGTACATGCCCTTGACCGGAATCGAACCTGGGACCTTTCAGTCCGCAGGCCGATGCTCTATCCCCTGAGCCAAACCGGTTTCGGCTCATTTAATTCTTATATCAACTGGTGTGGTTTATCCTCTCTTACAAGTGAGCAGGTTGAGACACAGAGAGACTTAGGAACCTGCCCAGGGCCAGGGTTATAAAAGGTAGAGCCATAATGGAAGATCAGACTCGGGGAGAAATGTAGCAAGAAATCTGTAAGAAGTAGTTACGCCTCACCATTCTGCCAGAGTTCTTTGAGGAAGACGGCAAGTATGTGGGAAGGGAGGACCCAGTGGAAATAACATACTTACAAGGGTTTCTCTCTTTACAAGAGTCAAACAGCTAAATTATTACAGGTTTGGGGATATAAAATAGGAAAGCTCCAAGATTTAAAAATGTTAAGAATATAGTTTGTATGGGCTTAATCCTGGAGTGGTCTTACTCAGTACTTTTAGAAATAATCTGGAAAAAGGAAAATCAGAAGCCTTAAATAGTCAGAAGACAGAATTTCTTCTGAGACTGGAACATTAGGGCTACACATGCAAAGGGAGAGAATAGAAGCATCAGCAGAGTTGATTTAAAATATATATAGATCTCACGTAGATGTTTCTCTTTGTCTCTCCTCCTCCCTTCCACTCTCTCTAAAAATCAGTGGAAAAATATCCTCGGATGAGGATTAACAAAAATAATAATACATACATACATACATACATATATATATAGCGAGAGAGAGAGAAAAAGAGAGAGAGTTAAGTAGATGTAAATATTTAAACACACGCACCCAGAGTACATTTTGAAGATGGTAGCCTATAAGCCCTCAGTCAGTAGTATCCTAGGAGGTGATCATGTAGACATTTTAATTGTATTCCATCACCTCTGTTGTCTCTCCCTCTATTTTCAACCAACTCTTTTAACCAGAAATCCTGGGTATCACCAGAGAATATATGTGAAGCAAAATGGAATCTGTTCACCTCTGATAGAAAGCATTAGCAGGGTTCTCATTGCTCTGCATAATGGAACTAGACCAAAGTCAAAGGCCATTAGAGTAGTAAAAGAAATGTAGTTGTTTTCACATAACGCCAGACTAAAAGGAGTAGGATTTGTATCTGAAATGAAGAATTGGCAAAGATATAATTACTTTCTGAATGTATTTATGAATTATAGATGAAGGGTGGGTGTTTATTTACCAATTTCTATGCATCTACCATATCTTCACCACTGAGCTCTGACAGAGGAGACATGATCCTGAAGTAAGAGATCAGATGCTGTACCATTAACAATCTGAAAGCATAATGCTTTTGAAATGCATCCATGTTAAATTTAATTGTCCCCAACCCTATTCCATCTGGATTTTTAAAATCTGAATAGTTCAATGGCAAGCTATTGAACTTCATGGAACAGTGATCTGATTATCTTCTCTTCTTCAGAAATAATTAGAGGAAATTGCAAGTAGAAAGAAAATACACTTGTTATCTAGAGATTATTTTGGATTAATACTCAAGATGACAGTGTTCTAGAGAAAAAACTGTGTCCTATTTTTAGGTGCAAGGAATATGTGGAGATAATTCTACTATCAGAGATTGTATGTAAATTTTCCAAGATGGGGAGATTATGATGCTAAATGTCTTGCTGTTTCAGATCAGCAAAACCAAGACTTAACAAAATGTGGGCCTTCATAGGAGGCCTGTGAAGTAAATAATAAGTATATTTGTGCAGCTCTTCATGGTGTATAAAATGCTTTTATGTGAGATGTGGAGGTGAAGCTTGAGCTCGCTTGCTTCTTAGCTATACAGTTTCATTAATATATTTCTAACTCCCAGTTGTGTTCTGAAGCAGTCTCTTCAGTTACTGTTAGGTGTGCCAGGGGTGTCATGATCCTTTGCTTCTTGTATTTGACTTTTAGGACTGTTGGCCAAACAGTGTTGTAGCAATAGAGAACTGTATTGTTGAAATACTTTGCTTATTTCTTTTCTTTTCCCCCCCTTTTTTTTCTCTTTTCCTTAGATATGTTCTGAGGACCAAGACTCATTTGGGGATGGTTACAGAACTGAACCATAGTAGGCAATGAAAATATACATTCAGAGTTGAGTAAAACATCCTGCTGGAAGGAAAACACACCCCTACTATTAAATTTAAATGGGCTGCACTGGTGTATGTTGAACAATTTGGTGTTAGCTGTTTACTTTTTAGGTTTCATAGGTTAAGACAGTTTTGTTCGGTCATGCTAGGATGATAGAGGAATTCATTCATAGGGACCTTGGGAAATGTACATAAGGATTAGGCTATTTTTTAAAGCATTAGTCCTGAGACAGTTTCTTGAAAAACTGAGTTCTGAAACCAAATCCAGTTGGGAAAACTGAAAACTGGATCCTGACTTGGAGTTTCATAGTACACTCTGATCTTGTTCTTTGAAGCACTGTTTGTACGGGTAATAGTTAAGTAAGGTCATCTTAAATATTCATAGGTAGACAAGGCTCATAGAATATTATATAGCAGTTGAAAGGGGCATGAACTAGATCATGATCTTCCAACATGAATGGATCTCAAGAACGTTAATTTAGAGAAATATTACAGAATATATGAAATTGCGCAGCCCCGCAGTGCTCGCAGCCCCACCCACCTGTGCTGGTCTTTGGTCGTTAGGGCCACAGGCCTTTTATAATAAAGATGGGAGATGCATACAGAATATAGTTTGTTTTTTAAAAGCAGCATGCTTTTAACAGTATATCTGTGTAATATGAATATATTTTTATAAAGTCTAAAAGGGTTCATACCAACCAGGTATAGTCACTTGGAGAAGTGACTAGGGTTGGAGATGATGATCAAAGGGTCCTTTTTAAGAAAGAAAATATTCATGTATTATTTATAATAAAAATGAACTAAATACAAATAAAATGCTTGTTAATGCTCAACAAGTTACTTTCTTTTCCCTCGTTGGAGATATCTACCCTCCTAATTCCAAATATCTATAATAATAAAAGTATAATATGCAAATTGACCGAATGGCCAAACAGCGGAACGACCGTCCAGATGACCTTCCGGATGACCTTCCGGACAAAGCCGGGGCTGCGAGGGTCGAGGAGGCTGGGGCTGGATGCGAGAGCCGAGACAGATGGTGCTGTGAAGGCCTACTCTTGCATGAATTTCGTGCATTGGGCCTCTAGTATCTTTATATTCATTAATTGGCTGTATACAAGTTAAACTGAGTTTTGAGCTTCGGTTCTATAAAATAGGAAGAAAGTATTTTCATTCTAGTCCATTACAATGAAATTATTTTTCACACATTATAAGGAATAAATGAAGTAACACATACAAGCAGTCTAGACTGCAAATTTTCAAGAGATAGGCTTATTCAAGCTTATATTTTGGTTCAAGAGATCTTTTGAGAGCAACAAAGAGAAGTTTGAACTTGGTTCTTGAGCAGTTAGTGAAGAGTTGAGAAGCAGCAGCTATAGGTTGAGTGAAACATTGTAGTTCAAACCAGTTAAGCTTAAAGAAGCAAATCCTTTTTTGATCTTTCAGTGTTGGTAAGAAATGTGCTTTCCAGTTCCATGGCTGTTCTTTATTGTTCTGCAGACCTGATTTTGGCTTCTTCCGAAGGGAACTTGAGGGCAGTAGTGGTTCCGTTTGACTTTACCAATCTCCAGGATAAATTTTAAGTGGCTGCATTTTTTGTGTGTAGATATGCTTTTTCTTTAAGAAAGGGTAATTCTGAAAAAGCTGTACCCACATATCAAGTTTTCTGTCAGAACATTCATCAATTGATTTAATTTGCCTAATGTTATAAGAACCATTGTCTGAAAAGATTTCATCAACTAAAAGTATCTCTTCTTTAAAACAGTTTGTTTTCAGGCACATGTATTGATTCATCTTTCCAAACTGGTCATTTTTATATTTCATTCAAGTTAAAACAAGGATTAACTGATCAATCAACTTTATGCTAAAAAATGTTTTAATACAAGCTATGAAAGGAAGAATTTAATTCACAGTACAAATATTTACTGGCACCTCTACATACTTGCGTGTGAGGGAAATTCAGAGTATTAAAACATGTTACTGCCCTTTGTGACCAGACTTCTTCCTAAATTGGTGTTAGCCTGCAATCCATATGCATAAAAATTGGTGGTGATGTACAATGATTCTTCCACCAAAATAAGTGGAAATTAGTAGAGTATAAACTGTGAAAGTACTGGGTAGGGTGAACTTCAGGAGTGTTTTCAGTAGTTGGACAGCCCCCAAGGAGAAGGGCTGCCAGGCATGACTACCTGGAGGAAAGGTATAAAGCCTCCTGTCTGACCTCTCCATTCTGCCTCATGCACGAATACCTTGCACATGGCATTCGCCAGTAGGTGTTATTCAGGATGATAGTGCACCGCAGAGGGGGAAGTTAGCCTTGTGTCCAGTGACATCTTGGTGTAATTTTGAGGTGGGTCTTGGGGATTGAGCATAATTAACAGAAAGTGCGAGAACTTTTTTTTAGTGCTGGTGACTTCTAGTTTCAGCTCTCATGCTAGCAATATTGTTGTGATTGTTTTGCATTTCTTTGTGCTTCACTGTTGCAGGAGTATGTCTGTCTCAATTTTTAAAAATATATGGCAGGTTTTCTTTAAGTGATCAATTGGACTCTTCCCCCCCTGTGTCTCTGTAGTATAAATACCACCATTTAATATGTAGAATTGATCATGAATGTGGGCAAAGTCAGTGAGTGCATTCAATGTCTGTTTGTAGATAAAGTTTAACATTATTCTCTAATAACAGGTTTATCATTTAAATCAACCAGTTCCTCTCAATGTAAATCATAGAGATGTTTAAGATGTCATTTCTTCTCAGAACAAGAATGAGAGCTGCCTGTCAGTTCTCTAGTTTGGCTTTCATGCCATGGAAGGCCTTGGAAACCTGTTTTGAGAGAGTTCTAAATGATGCATATTCCTGTCTTGCAGGTTTTTTTCCTGATCAGGAGGACAGATCAGCATAGAGTCCAAGCATGAATGTTCATCGTGGCAGTGAGAGCGACAGGTTATTGCTGCAGGAGGCCAGCTGCCTAATGGATGAAACCTCGTCTGCAGCCCAAGAAAAAGAAACTAGTAGCCTGACTTCTTCTGGTCTTCAAAATCTTGCTTATCCGCTAACTCCCAGGAGTGATGGTACGGAGACTAGATATTGGCTTAATGTAGAGGGCCTTCTGACACCTGAGCATCCACTCTGCCCAGAAGACATAAATGTCTTAATCTTTATAAATAAGATATCCAGTTAATTGGCTTAGCTTACCTTTCACAATTATATAAAGCTAACCATAACAGAAAATCTCCACTTATTCAATCAATCTAGAACATCTAACTTAGGCATAATGGTGTGAGAAAAACAGTCATGGGTTTGCAAGCAAAAGACCGGTTTAGATTCTACTCTGCTACCTATCTGCTATAACCATGGGAAAGATTCTTAATCTTTCTGAGCCCTGCTTTCTTAATCTAGAAAACAAGAATATAACATTCTTCTGACTTCATAAGGCTAGAATATTAGAGTTAATGGATGTGAAGGGTCTTATAAACCTTTTTCTTTTTTGGTTTTAGAGAGAGAGGAAGGGAGAGGTATAGAGAGACAGACATCGGTGAGAAAGAAACTGATTGGCTGCCTCCTGCACACCCCACACTGGGGATGGAGCCTGCAACCCGTGCATGTGCTCCATTGGGAATGGAACTGGGGACTCCTGGTCCATGGGTCTATGCTCAACCATTGGCCATACCGACAGGGCTCTTTTTAACTTTTAAATAAAACAGTAGCAACAATAATAGCAGTTACCACTTACTGAGCACTCACTGTGCTAGGAATTTTACATACATCTCTTTATTTTATTTATTTATTTAATATATTTTATTGATTTTTTTTTTTACAGAGAGGAAGGGAGAGGGATAGAGAGTTAGAAACATCGATCAGCTGCCTCTTGCACACTCCCTACTGGGGATGTGCCTGCAACCAAGGTACATGCCATTGACCGGAATCAAACCTGGGACCCTTGAGTCCGCAGGCTGATACTCTATCCACTGAGCAAAACCGGTCAGGGCTACATACATCTCTTTAGATCAAGAGATCTAAAGGAAACGAAGGGTTGAGGGTTCAATTCCTGGCAAACTGTGGTCAAATCTGCACTGCTGCCTATTTTTGTCGATAAAATTTTGAAATACAGCCATCATGCCCATTTGTTTACATATTGTCTATGGCTGCTTTCTTGCTACAATGGTGGAGACTGACCCACTGAGCCTAAAATATTTACTTTTTGGGTCTTTACAGAAAGTTTGCCGATCCCTGCTTAGATTAGTCCTCCTTTTAAAAATGATGAAACGTGGGTAACTTTTGCTCAGGTTCACACTGCTAGGATGTGGGGACTGAGATTTGAACCTGTGTTGGATCAGGCTGTGCTATTGTAGATTTATCAGCTGATGGACAAGCGGAGTCACTGCCCCCTAGAGTGCACCATTAGAGAGAAGTTGTGCACTGAGTCTCTTTTCCCGCTCACCTGTTTAACGATAGTACCTGAGGCATCCTTCAGGAATCGACCTAATTTAATTGTTTCATTGCTGGGGGCAAATCAAGCTTTCTAGAGAATTGAATTAGTAATTTAGATACCTACTTTAATTTTTAAGAACCTGCCAGTGTGAAAGCCTGTCTGGTGATTAAGGTGTTTCTTCCTACAAGCCTGCCTGTGGGTTGTGTGGGAACTTAGCTTTGGGTATGCAAAATCAGGGCCACACTGAAAACTTAAGTCCTGCAGAAGCTGTAGGTTGTAAACCCTAAATTGGCTTTTGGTCTAGATTTTGCTTTCCTTTTCTCCAGAAACAAGGTCGGGGGCGTTAATCAGACTAATTCCCCAGAGGTCATGGGCAGTAATCATGTTCATGAAATATTGTATGCAAATTTAGAATATAGGAAGGGTGGGATGAGAAATTCAGTTGTATCTATAATATTTTATTTCTTTCCAAAAAAGGTTTGAAGGAGAGAAAAATGTTAACTGAGCTTGCCAAATACAACTAATGGCATATACATGTGGTATTAACTCTATGCATCAGCAGATGAGTGGATTAGAAAACTGTGGTACATCTACACAATGGAATACTATGCTGCGGTAAAAAAAAAGGAACTCTTGCCTTTTGCAACAGCATGGATGGAACTGGAGAGCATTATGCTAAGTGAAATAAGCCAGTCAGAGAAAGATAAATACCACATGATCTCACTCATTTGTGGATTATAGAGAACAACATAGACTCTTTTAAAAAAAAATTTTTATTAAGAATACTTTTTATATTAAAATATATTAGGAAAACTGCCTATTTAAGCATCCTCTAAGCCCTGGCCAGTGTGTTAGATGGTTAGAGCGCCGACACAGGAAATGAAGGTTAGAGGGTTCAATTCCTGGTCAAGGGCATGTACCTGGGTTGCAGGTTCACTCCCCATCCCAGATGGGCTGCATGCAGGAGACAACCAGTTGATGTGTCTCCTCCTCCCCTCCTCTCAGTCACTCTCTCCCCTTCCCTTCCACTCGCTCTCTGAAAAGCAATGGGGGGAAAATATCCTCATGTGAGGATTAACAAAAAATAAAATAAATAAAAAATAAGAGCATCCTCTGGGAATCCTTTTGTAAATACTGGCTCCTTGCAGCCAGAACTATGAGAAATAATCTGTTAAGTCTCATTCCCTTTCTCTTGTGTGCACCCAGAGTTAATTAATTCCAGTTTTAGTCTTTTGCATGATGCGGTATTGTTCGTTTTTAAGTGCTCTCACATTCTTTCAGTTGATAGTCCTGTGAGGTAGGTGGAATGAACGTTATTCTCATTTTAGAGATGACGAACCAGGTTTAGAAAAATAAATTACTTAAAGAAAATAGCTTTTTGGTGATACAATAACTGAGCATGAATCCTAACCCAAGGCCATTTGCATGGGAATTTTGCAGCTGATAGAAGACCTGCCTGTTCAGAAGTGGTGTTGGTGATGATAGGATGCCCCTTTGCATAGTGAAAATGCATTTTTCTGTGACTTCTAGGAAAAGTGATGCATTAGACAATAGACTCTGTCATTGTCTTTCTGGAAAATAGAATTTGGAAACATTTTTTAAAAATGTAGAAAGAAAATGGTTTTGGCACACCAGCGGTAGCACAAATAAAACACAGCAAGTATAAGTATTATTTAGAGAAGTGAAAACAAAAGTAGAAAGTTATTGCCTCTGTGGAACAACACTGGGGCGGCCATGGAGTGTGGCAGGGGATTGCTGGTTTTCCACAGAAAGTTGTCCCTAATGTTTTAATTTTTTAAAACCATATCGAAGTTTACTTTTAAAGTTTTTAATCATTTTATTTTAAAATGTGGATATTACTGCCTTTATCCCTTCTCCCTACACACACATGTGCTTGGCATGAGTGGAAAAAAGCTCAGGGGAATCCAGTGTAAGTCTCCTGTTATATTTCTTCTTTACTTGCTCTGGACAAGAGTTTTTGCCTGTTTGCCTCTAAACATCTGTGGGGGTTTTGTTCAAATTTTTATTGTTTTTTAAAGAAAACAGGGTTTATTTTTCCCCCAAGGCTTTTGCAATTGAGTTATTTTGGTTGATTTGTATCTTTCAGACCTTTCACTGGACTATGCCTCTCAGCCAGCAAGCCTCCAGTTCCCTCACATAATGCCACTTCCCGAAGACAGCAAAGCCTCCTGCTTCCCAGGTGGGACTAAACGGAGCTATGAACCCTTTATTGCTCCAGAACGATTTGGAAACAGCACTATGGGCTTTGGCAGTAACGTTCATTCCCAGGCGCCAGAGAAAGTGACACTTCTCGTAGACGGCACACGTTTTGTGGTGAATCCACAAATTTTCACTGCTCACCCAGACACCATGTTGGGAAGGTAACTGATGATACTTTCCTTCTAAATGCACTCTGTTCTCTATGACTGGAATACCTGCTGTTTATCTTGCTTTAGATGTGAAAATGAAAAGCATTGCATTGCTGATTTTCTGCCTTCCTCCTTTGGTGAGATGGAGGGCAAGCTGGTACAAAACATACATGTGTTGGTAATTTGGGGGACTGGGTATTTTATTTCTAAAGCCAGTATAGTGAACAAAAGAAGGGAGTGCAGCCATGCAGCCAGAACTATCAGAAATAATATGTTAAATCTCATTCCCTATTCCTCTATAAACTAACTCTGAAACAGAAGTCAGATACTTAATTTATTTATTCACAATTTGCATAACCTCCCAAAAGCAATGTTTTTCTGAGTTCTACGAGTCAGAGATACTGAGATAAAGTGAGAACTGTAAATTGAGTTCATCTTTCTTTCGTCTTTTGTCTCTTGATAAAAAAAATAGAATTAGACAGAAGTTTCACAGGACACAACAAAGCCGTTTCACTGAAAAGTAGTATATTGCCTGCCATCTATTGCCAGTTCGGCTGAGAAATAGATGTTTTACTGTCATTTTCTGATGCCTCTGTCACTACTTGTTTTCTGACATCTGGCTTTTCTGTTGTTTCTTTATTCTTCATGTTTCATCCAGACTGTAGTCTTATCCTCCTCTCACTGCCCACTGCCCCAACTTTTCAGGATTAGAATTTAGGGAATGGAAAGAGCCTGCCCAAAGGAGCACTGCCCACAAGGGCTCCTGGAGCCTGGACTGGAGTTAGGAGGTCCTCTTTCTGCAGTCATAGACCTTAACATGAGGAACAGCCAATGGGACAAGAGTAAAATAATAATAATAATGTGTGTGTACATACCTTTGACTTTTAAGGATTTTTATCCACTTAGAAGTAGATGTTATTTAAAGATCTAACCTCACTCAGGACATTGAACTAATTTAAACCACATTAGAAATCAGAGGAAAATCACTAATTTTACTGAATCTTAGGCCAAATGGGATCCAGCTATTCAAATATGTGTCTACTTGAACATATACATACAAATTCATGATGAGCCATTTTTAACCAAAACCAAACCTATATATTTCTCAAACATCTGAATTAAGATTAAATGAGAACATTAAATTATTTTCTAAATTGGCCCTGTATTTACTCAGACTTGACTTCCTGTGCTCAGTCTTGGTATCACCACCAGTAATGTCCCGCCCCCCCGGGCCCCCCCAACAGTGTCCCTGAGTTCCTCAGGGCAGTCTGGCTGAGGTAGGTTTCCTCTGAAGGTGGTGATAGAGAGAAGAAGGCAAGCATTATCTGGGCAATAGATCCTTAGCTAACAGTGGTTCTTTGAATCTAGGAATGGGTTGTCCACGAAGAAGAGAGTCTGATTTTCTTTATCTAAATGGTTCATCAGCTGAGTGCCAGGGTCATGAGTTCTGAGTGTTACTTGGGTTTGTTGTCCTTGGCTGCACAACAGTACTCATAAGCCCAGCCACTGAGCTTACAGAGGTGGACCGCTAGCCGCAGAGGGGACAAGTTGAGAGATCAAGAATGGACTAATGCACATCCATGCCGCTATTGGAGAACTAGGTCCTGCTGATGGAGGGGGATCATACTGCATTTGTTCACTATTTTGATTCATAGCTGTCTCAGCTAAACGTTAGCCAGAATGTTCCAGAAAAAATGTTAGCATTCTTTGAAGACAGTTTTTACCAGGATGGATTTCTTATGTATGGTCTAGTGATTTGGAAAGCATGTGGAATAGAGTCTTTTTCAGACCTTTAAAAGTAGCCAATTCCGAGTGGAGGCAAACGGTTTTGAGCAGTTGAGCAGCAGGACTTCCCGGAGGTTAAGGAAGGTAACGGCAGTGCGTCCCCACTGAGAACTCAAGTCAGGCTGTGTAGCTAGCAGCTCTCTGCCCGCCCTTCGTGCTCACTTCCCATCCCACATGCAGCAGGAGTCATAAGTCTTGGGGCCAGTTTTCCTGGAGGGTATCTGAGAGGAGGAGGAAGAATGGGAAAGGTGAATCAGAAAAGCAACCTCCTCCTCAGACCCTCATGACCTGAGTTCATGCCCAGCGCAGGCCTGCCTCTCTGAAATACGTCAGACTGCTGATGAGCCTAACACAGTGACGGCAAACCTATGACAGGCGTGTCAGAGGTGACACGCGAACTCATTTTTCTGGTTGATTTTTCTTTGTTAAATGGCATTTAAATATATAACATAAATATCAAAAATATGTCTTTGTTTTACTATGGTTGCAAATATCAAAAAATTTCTCTATGTGACACGGCACCAGAGTTAAGTTAGGGTTTTTCAAAATGCTGACAGGCCGAGCTCAAAAGGTTCGCCATCACTGGCCTAACACCTACCCTCCTTTTCTACTTGACCTGAAATTCCCATAGTTAGTTACTCCTTGGCTTGAAGGGCATTTTCCCCCCAGAGCTCCACCACTGAAACGTACCAGGAAGGGAAAGCATTAACATGTCTGCACCTGTTAATACAGATTCATCTGTCAGATTAGAGGTTGAAAGCAGAACTCGGGCATTTTGAGAATTGGCATCCCGGGTAGGTAAATGCTGATAGAGGAGGGAAAGGGATAGGAAAGGCCAGGAGCATGAGACACCGTGTCTCTGAGCTGCCTGGCACATACAAGCAGATTCCCGGCAGTGGGGAGCGCAGGAGAGCAGCCCTCACGCTGCAGACACGCTCCCAGGGCTTGCTTCCCTGCCCCTGCTGTCACAGGAGCTCGCCACAGCTGAGCCTGGCGGACTTGCTGCTTCGTGCCCCTCGCTGAAAGCCACGCTGCCTTCTCTTCCAGTCTGAAGGGCATTGCCCAAGACTGGACTGCGTCGTGGGGGCTGGGCCCCAGTGCTCTGTTAACTTACACTAGGCGAGAGTGAGAATCCTGCCGGAGGTCACATTGTTGCCTGGTGTCTTTCAGGATGTTTGGACCAGGAAGAGAATACAACTTCACACGGCCCAACGAGAAGGGGGAGTATGAGATTGCCGAAGGAATCAGCGCAACTGTCTTTCGAACGGTGCTGGTGCGCAGTAGTCTTTTCGTTCTATCCTCTTCCATGGGCCCGCATGATCAGAAGTCCTGAGAGTCCATCAGGCTGTGGTACTGACCTTAGGGTCTCTAGTTTCCAGTGGCTGCCTTTCCCACTTTACTTTTTATTCCTGTAACTTAAGTATTCTTGCTGTGTGAGCTCAATCAGGTATCAAGTTGTGATTTACCATGTCAGGACATCCAGGAGCCACTGCCATTTAGTGAGTCAACAACTTGGTGACAATGTCAGTAACCCATCACTTTACAGAACCAGCAGTGAATAGGTGTTGAAGAGGTAATTTTTCATCTTGTTCTTTACCTACATTTCTTCCTCCTAATCTATTTATAGGATTATTACAAAACTGGTATCATCAATTGTCCTGATGGCATCTCTATCCCAGACCTTAGAGATACGTGTGATTATCTCTGCATTAACTTTGACTTCAACACTATCCGATGTCAAGATCTGAGTAAGTACAGGAGCAGCTGCACTTAGTTTGCCTGGAATTGATTGGCATTTTTTACTGCTAACCAGAGATTCCCAAGTTTGGGCTGAGAATCATCTGCAGAGGCAGAGGGGTGCTGCTATCCATTCCCTCTCTCGCTTCAAAGCATTTTGAGGACGTGCAGTAAACAAGAGAATGTGTAGTGAGCTCTAAACCTAGTTGGCCCGTGAGTTACCAAGTTAATTCCTTCCCCTCTTGGTGTCTCAACCTTTTTATTAAATAAAGGGTACTGATTCTCAGAGCTATGGGAAGTCTCACTAGGAAAGTTAAACAGCATAAATTGGCTGGGTTCTTAACAATTATATTTATCATTAGCATTAACTTAGTGTTTGTTAAGTGCTTTATAGATGTGAACTTGGTATAAATCCTATAATAATCCTAAAAGATGGGTGATAACCTCATTTAACAAATGAGACTGAGAAGTTAGCTTGTTCAAAGCTCTAAGCTTAAAAAGCTGAAATTAGAACTGATTGACTACAAACTCCATGCTCTTATCATTACCCACTAGGCTCCCTGAAATTATTTTTAAATTGTTCTTTGAAGTTCATGATACATTTCCCTGCAGACTCCATGAAGTTGTCTGGACTTGTGAATTCTCTACTGGGTCTAGTATATACTTAGGGCAGCGGTTCTCAACCTGTGGATCGCAACCCCTTTGGCGATCAAACAACTTTTTCACAGGGGTCGCCTAAGACCATGCTGCATATCAGATATTTACATTATGATTCATAACAGTAGCAACATTACAGTTATGAAGTAGCAACGAAAATAATTTTATGGTTGGGTCACAACATGAGGAACTGTATTTAAAGGGCCAGAAGGTTGAGAACCACTGACTTAGAGCAAGTCCCTTGGTGTCTCCAAACTTCAGGTTCTTCTTCTTCTGTGTACTCTTAACTCCATGAAATTGGGGTCTAGAGGATCTTCAGAAGCAATACTGCAGAGTCATCCCCGAGTGATGATTCTATATCTTGTAGAATTATGTTTATGATATGACACTATGTTCAACAAAACCTCCATTGATCAGAATGCTCAGGGATTATTAAGCACTAGAGGCCCAGTGCACAAAACTGATGCACAAGTGGGGGGGTCCCCCCCTTAGCTCAGTCTGCACCTTCTCCAATCTGGGACCCCTTGGGGGATGTCTGACTGCTGGTTTAGGCCCAATGCCGGCCTGATCACCCCTCACTGCCTCTATGTGCTGGCTATATAGGATGAGTAAAGGAAGCATCGTAGAATGTGAAATACACCTAACAAAATCAGCTTAATTACCACCTTGAAGTAGGAAACAATCTCTGCCTTCAAATGGCTCACTTCTCTGGACCCTATCAATGGTAACAGCGATTACCCGATCATCTTTTTCACTCCAGTAACATGCACTTGGGCAGAGCGGATGCTCACCTGCAGTTTCTCTCCCCAGGTGCTTTATTGCATGAACTGTCCAATGACGGTGCGCACAAGCAGTTTGACCACTACCTCGAGGAACTGATCCTGCCCATCATGGTGGGCTGTGCCAAGAAGGGGGAGCGGGAGTGCCACATTGTTGTGCTGACCGATGAGGATTCTGTGGACTGGGATGAAGACCACCCCCCACCCATGGGAGAGGAATATTCCCAAAGTAGGCGCCACCTGCATGATGCAGATGTTTTTTGCAAGAAACACGCTACCCAGAATAGCAACTAGATGCCAGAAGCAGCGTGAATATCACTGAGCGCCAGTGATGAGCACACTCACCTGGAAGATGAGTTCAGTGTAGTGACGCAGGTCTGACTGCTACGCTGTGGAGCATAGTGAATGTCATACCTTCCCTGCTGCTGGTGCCTGGTACTGTGTCAGTTCTGAGGCAGCCTGTTAAATGGTGGTGTCATTCTTCCATTTTTAAATCCTTTTGAATTGATAACACAGAATTCAAAAAGTACATAAGGATGCACATTGAGAAGTCTTGTTCCCACCTCTGCCTCATCTATCCAGTTTTCCTTCTCAGTTTCTTCCAGACATTTCCATTGCACATAAATCAGCACGTTTTTCCTGTCTTTCAAATGATATCATATAGAATACAGACTATTCTATACAATTTCTTATATTAAAAGCCTCCATGCTCTTATTTATAGCTGTATAGTATTCCATTGCATGATTGTCATAATTGATTTAACCAGCCCTGTTGATGGACATTTAAGCTATAAATTATAAATGATGCTGCAGTGAGTAGCTATTTATTTATTTGAATTTTTATGAGTTTATTTGAGTTGAAGTGAAGGCATATGCCAGGGAACAAGATCTCAAGTGCTCCGTGAATATCCTTTTAACACAATCTTTTTTTTTTTTTAAATATATTTTATTGATTTTTTACAGAGAGGAGGGGAAAGGGATAGAGAGTCAGAAACATCGATGAGAGAGAAACATCGATCAGCTGCCTCTTGCACACCCCCTACTGGGGATGTGTCCGCAACCAAGGTACATGCCCTTGACCAGAATTGAACCTGGGACCCTTGAGTCCGCAGGCTGACGCTCTATCCACTGAGCCAAACCGGTTAGGGCTTAACACTATCTTTTCACACGTGCATATCTCTGTAGAATATTCCTAGAAATGAAATTTCTGTCAAAAGCTTTGTGCTTTTGTAATTTTGATACATGTTGGCAAATTATCCTCCATAAAGTTTGAGTCAACTTACACTCACAAAACATAGGTTTGTTTTCTGAACAGTGTTTCACTAAAGTTTTATATTTGCTATTTGAGTTTTGGTTTTCATTTCTCATTTCATGAATGAGACTGACCATCTTAATTTTTAAGAGCCATTTTAATTTCCTTTTCTGTTAAACTATTTTTTCCTTCAGCCCATTGCAAAATTGGATTGTTAGTCTTTTACTTAGAGATTTGTGTAAGCTCTCTATTTGTGACCTCTAATAAGGAAGTTAGCCCTTTGTAATATGAGTTGCAAATATTTCTTTCAGTTGGTTGTCTTTTTAGCTTTAATAGTTGTTTTGACTAAGTAGAGATCTATTTTTATATAGTTGAGTGTATCAACTTTTCTTTTATGGCTTCTAGGTTTTATGTCCTACCCAGAAAGGCCTTCCATATCCTATTTAACATTTAATTTGTGATCCACCTGAATTTTTTTGGCATCAGGGCCAAAAGAAATACAACTTTTATTAGTCTGATTCTGTTAGCTCATCTCCTTCCTCTTACGGAGTCTTTGCTCCATAACTAACCCAGATCTTTTATTTTTTATTTTTCCCACAGTTCTTTATAGTTCCAAGCTCTACAGATTCTTCAAGTACATTGAGAATCGGGATGTTGCTAAAACAGTGTTAAAGGAACGGGGCCTGAAAAACATTCGCATTGGAATTGAAGGTAAAAACATCCCAGTCAGTATTCAGCTTGCTTAGCTTATGGAGGTAGGCTGCAACTACGGTCCTAGCTTATGTCCTGAAAACTTCCAGACGACAGTGGACAAATGAAAACTACATTTCTACCCAGGTTTCAAGGATCTTTATTTTGTTTTGTCCTTATGTTTCCTTTTCACTTTATTTCCAGTTGAAAATGCTTTAAAGCAGCTGCAGGAATAAGTTCCAATTTCCTGCCTGCCGGGGTCCAGCCCCAGCAGGTCCAGGGGTCCCCAAAGGTGTGGGCGGAGTCGGTGAAGAAGGAATGACACGGAGACAGCGTTCAGTTGATCAGCAGCCTAGGCAGGATCTCTAGCCAAGTTCTAGTCAGGATCTCCAGCGAAGTTCTGGTTAGGATCTCCAGCCAGGTTCTGTGGCCATGTTCTCTCGCTAGGTTCTCCAGCCAGGTTCGGGTTAGGTTCTCCAGCCATGTTCAGTCGCCAGGTTCTGTAGCCGGGTTCTTCAGCCAGGTTCTGTCTAGGTTCTCCAACCAAGTTCTGTAGCCAGGTTCTGTCCAGGATCTTTTGTCTTC